TCTGCTACCTTTCCTATGTCAAAGAGGGCTTAGACATAAGGTAATTGAAGAAAGAGACATAACATGTGTAAACAAAAGAGACATAACATGGAAAGAGCTGATATAGGTAGTTTCTGAATGTCTAAATTCTGTAAGTCTCTAAACATAATCCTATACTTGCTAATTCGTAGGTCCCAGAGGTCGGGAACTATCATATTTATTTCTCTAATCCCCACAGTTACCAACTCACTTCACTTTTTCTGAGATCCACTAAGTGTAGAGCTCAGAAAAAGTGAAGTAAATAGGAGGACTGGATTACATTGCTTGATTCAGAAGAAAAAAGATTTACAAATTGTATAAAATATACTCATCAATTTCAAATAAGATCTCTTCTTGGATAAAATCCAGGAATATGGTATGCAATACTGTATGTAATCCTGCGTGATTATTGATGCCTTGGAAATATTATACTCCATTTAGGATTTTTAAGTAGGTAGAAAGACTGACTTTGTGTCTTAAAAACAGAACCTGCCTTCAAGTATCTCCTACCTATGTTCTCCTTCTTGCAACTAAACAGATACTGACATTCTCTTCCACTCATAATTATTTAGCAACAAGCAGAGAAGGAAAACAACACATTTGTACACACACAAAGTATTTCCAAGTATTTATGTGGAGACCTGAGAAGCATTTTCAATTAACATCAAGCAGTATATTTTACTTAGATCCTCATGATATTTCAAGTGCAACCTGGGACCAGGGGATTTTAGGCTGACAAGCACCTTTATGCCCTCTCCTTCCTCATTAATAGGAACCCCGAAGGCTGTAGTAACAATTCAGGACAGGAAGCAAGTCTCCCAGTTCCTGGCTCAATATCCCAAACTACCCCTTTCCACCTTGTTGACCTGGGGAGCTCTCTCAGTATATCAAAGAATCACCTTCACTAGAAATGGTTTCTTTGATTTATTTTTTTGTTTTGCGTGAAAACACATTGTTTCACACATCCTTTCCTTGGGCTTTAGCTGTAAGACTTTCTTCCCCAGCAAGCAGGGATCTTATTTGTGTTACCAACCAAGGGAGATTACATGGTGAGCTTTGAAAGGAAGATTTGCCTGATAGGCACATGTAGGACATGTAGGTAATGAATAAAGTAGTAACTTTAGCAGTGAATTCATCCTTCAAGAATGTCCCTTGAAGATCACCAGGCATTTCTTCTATTAGAGAACAAACATTTACAGAGTTAGCTAAATCACTTATAAGACACACCCTTTAATATTTATGCATGATGAAATTTCTCAGAACAGGCAATGCCACCGAGTTAGCCCAAATATATATATAGAGAGAGAAAGCCAATTTTACATATATATTTTAAATACAGAGCAATGAATTTCAGGGAGAAGAAAAAAACAAAACTCTTGGTCCAGGACTCAGATTCCTGCTGTAACTATATCCTTAATAACAGTTCACTGGGCAACAATTTTAATAGCACAGTAATGTACAGAGAATAAGTTGGTGCATAATGGGTAGACTGGTTTTAATATACCATGCTTATTTTGTTTTATTTATACATTTATTTGTATGACTTATTTTTTGCCACATAATGTGTGGCAATACTTTGTTGGAATCGCCTTTGCTAGAATAAAGGTAGCCTGAAAATAATCTAAATAATAGTCACTCCTTAATGAAAACAATTTTTGTTTCTTGAATTATAGTATTTCCTGGCATGAAAGATGTCTTTTCAGGGAAACTTTCTAGTTCTTTAGGCTTAAAGGAATCAAAAGATGGAGGGAAAAGAGAAGTGCATGCTAGAAGTACCCATGTCACACTGGGCCTGCATTTATATCCTGGAACCCCTTTCCAGATGGAAAAGGAGGGTGAAACTGGCTAGAGGAGTAGGACAGGTCTGCTCTGTGTCCGGTCACATAATGTCAGTCAGCTGGGGCAGAACTCAGGGGCTGAGCAGCTTATCAGCCATGAAACTCTTGGGAAAGCTCACCACTGAAGAATGGGCCCCCAGGGAGCAGAACACTATCCACTCTACCATCTGACTTCTGCTTCCTATTAGGACTCCTTTAGCAGGAGAAATGATTTCCTAGTGGTGCAGCATGTCCAAATTTATTGCTTTATTTACTGGCTATCGAATTAAATGGGAAAATCCACCATAAGAATTCCTCAGCAACACTGAAAGGATCTGTCTTATTAGATTCTATTCAAATTAGCACTCCTTCTATCCAGAATTTGTTAATAGTTACTTTATAATTCCAGGATTTGGTCTCAGCAGTTTTTTTGCATGAAGCACCTGTTTTGGTCAAGTTCAAAAAACTTGTATATTCACTAAAAATGATGCATTTGGGGGTGTACATTTCTAATAATTCTGACGTTTTTACTTGCATTGTCAGCATACCCACATTTAAGCAGTTGTGAAATAAACATATGCATTTTAAGTACACAGATGCACAGATATCACTTTGAAACAATTCTTCAACAGATCTGTATTCTTTAGTATAGAAGCAGAGGAGTCCCTTTTTAATAATACAGTATGCATGAGCTTATTCTCTATGCCATTTTAAAGAATAATGTTTATTTTGATGTCTATCCATGGTTATGATTGATTTCTGGTTAATCTCCATATAACATCACCTTGGTTTAAAAATCTAGCTCTAAACATTAATCAAATATTTTAGTTGTGTATTAGATTATGTGCATTGAGATGGATTTCTTAATAGGCATTTACTTCCTAGAAACGTCAGTGTTTATATTATAGTCTTATTATTATTATAAATACATTTAATTTGATTTTTTCTCTTCAATTTGCCATTCATGTTTATGGTTGTCTGCACATTTTAACTAATTTTGAGATATTGGGGTCAGTTTTGTACTGTATAGGATAGGGCCCCTGAGGGGTCACCATGACACAAAGTTAACAGATTCTGATTTGAAGCTGGACAGGCTTGGTGGAGCGATAGATAGGAGTCATCTCTTTCTCTTGTCCCCCACCGTGCATCAGCACCCTGTGAGGCTCCTTGACCAGATGCCAAGAGCCCACCATATCTGTGCCAGTATGTACACAGTCTTTGGCAACATCTCAGATGAAAAGCTGCAAAGTGCCGAGCAGAGTGGCTTTGAAATCAGACAGACTTGTTTTAAATCCTGCTCTGACACTTAATCTGTGCAATAACCTTGGGCAGGTTATTTTACAGCTCTCTGACTTCCTGAGATAAAATTAATCATATAGAGTTACAGCAGGCTTTAATATGGTTGGCTGTTCAAAGTAATAGTTACAGGTATAGCTTCCCAAGTTCCAGTCCTGCTCTGCCATGCTCTACCTCCTTGACCTTAGGCAAGTCAAAATAAATCACTCCAAATCTTGGTTTCTTCATTTACAACACAAGGATAATAATTATAACCTCTTATAGGGTTTTGAAAGGATTAGATTTTAAAAGTAAATGAAAACCATGTTTCACAATGCTTGGCACATAGTAAGCACTCAATATTAGTCATTTATCTTTTATGAAATTCATCTTAAGTTCCTAGCACTTGTAGGTACACAACACCCTGGAGCCCTCTGTCTCTCTCATGGCCCTTTGGGGTCTCTGTTCTCTGTTCTAACCAATACTGTGAGAATGAGAAGGACAGCAGAGCTAGGGAACAGAATTTATATTTGTAAAATGTCCTGGAAAATACACTTCATTGTTCAACTTATAGGTCTTGTTTTTTTAAGCCTATAAAATTATCTCTATAATTGAAATACCTAATCCTTAAATTGTGTATTCTGGTGGTGGGGGAGGGGGGAAGCAGACTTCCGTTCCTTTTTCTACCTAAATATCTGTGTTTATTTTTGACTGGAGCAGTTGCAGCTGATGTAAACACTCAGCAATCAGGGCACTTTGAAAATGTTTTCTATTTTCATTAAATAGTGTTTATCCTAAAGAGAAATGCTTTATGCCTTCAGCATTACTTTTAGAATGTTACATATTTATGACATAATAATATGCTACTTTGGGATTTTTTTATATTTAAGTTTCTAAAAAATGACATTTACATAATTTTTCCTCAAGCATTTATGTAATTCTCTGAAGTACTCTTTTTACTTTACATATACATATTCCTTTCATTTTCTAATATAGATTTGTTTATCTCCTCTTTCAATCAGGATATTTTAGATGAATATTGAAATAATTATTGACTTTTAAAAAATCATGTAATCAACAGCTGGGTATGGCTGTAAATGATATACATATTTCATCAGTTTTAATACTCAATCTTTATAGGAAACTTTATATAGCTGTATTTTAAAATTATTTTTGATGCACAGTTTATAAATAAAGGTGGCTTAACTCTACCATATAAATAAAGTTTATTGTGGATTTCTGACCTTTTGAAATGTGGAGGACATTTCTATATCCATTTACTACTGGTACATAATTTATGTGTATTTGTGCATGTGTATGCATATACAACAATATATATCATATGCAAATACATAGCATTATATATTAAATTAACAGCCGGACAGTCTGTTAATATATTCAAGGTATCATCTTCCCCTAATCCATCTACCAATCATCATCTTTTTCCAAACTCTCCCTTATGCTACGACCACTACTGATCATGAATATGGCACCATTCATGCCCATTCAATGATAGCAAGCAGACATAAAAATTCTGTTTCTGTGCTCTGCATTCCTTCTCATAGTCTCTCCATCCTCCCTAGACCCCATCTTTATCCCAGCACACACACAAGCTCCACTTCCTCAGTCCACATTGTTATAATTTGGATCTTAATTGTCCTCCTAAGGCCCATGTGCTAACAGCTTAGTTACCAGCCTGCAGGGCTACTGGGAGGGGGTGAAACCTTTTGGAGGTGGGCTCTAGAAGAAGGAAGGAAGGAAGGAAGGTATTTTAGTCGACATTCTTTTCTTCTTCTTCTTCTTTTTTTTTTTTTTTTTTTTTTTGCCACTGTGACTAAAGAATCTAACCAGAACAATTTTAAAGGCAGAAAAGTTTATGTGAAGGCTCACGGTTTCAGAGGTCTCAATCCATAGACAGCAGGCTCCATTCCTTCTGGCTCGAAGTGAAGCAGAACATCATGGCAGAGGAGCGTGGCAGAGGGAAGTGGCTCACATGACAATCAGGAGCAAGAGAGAGACTCCACTGGCCAAATACACATATATAGCCCCAAAGCCACGCCCCAATTCCCACCTCCTCCAGCCAAACACTAGCATTTCAGTTACCACTCAGCTAAACCCTATCCGGGGATTAATCCACTGATTGATTAAGAGTTTCACAACACAATCATTTCTCCTCTGAACTTCTTGCATTGTCTCACATGTGAGCTCTTGGAGGATACCTCACATCCAAACCATAACAGAAAGTCACTGGGGATATGCTCTTGAAGGAAATGTTGGAATCCAAGTCCCTTCCACTCTTTTTCTCTCTCTTTTTTTCTGGCTGCCATGAAGTGAGAAGCTTTACCCAATCTACCATGTGCTCCTCACCATGATGTTCTGCCTTGTCACCGGCCCAAAAGCAGTGGGACAACTGACCAAGGACTGAAACCTCCAAAATTGTGAGCTAAAATAAATCACTCTCCTTATCAGCTGATTATTTTAAGTATTTTATCACAGCAAAGGAAAGCTGAATAATACACATGGTTATACTGAGGGTTGTCCTGACCATATTTTAAAATATGTTATTTTCTATTGTTTTTGCATATAGGTAAACTATACATATATGACATAAAATTAGTTTGTATATAACTATATCTTTACGCATGTCCATATAAAACAATAAAATTATTTAACATATGACTATATACAATCTTGTTTTCTTCTCTTTGGTCAAAGATGGTGTCCCTTCCAGATCTTCATGAGATACTAGAGGAAGCTAATAGTTTTTTTTCCAGTGACCCCACAGCCTGAGATCAAAGTATTGTTGCTCACAGGCATTTCCTTTTTGTGTATAATATTTTCCAGAATGTAATTTGGAGCAGGTAATAGGGTAGAGATAAGGGAATGGCACATATTCTCTTGGATATGTCTTTATGTATGAAGTTGCAACCTTCACAAATGTTAGAACTGGATGTTCTCCACCACATTTAGATCTTATTAAAAGGAATCTGGGTTAATAAACAGGATGCAAGAAAGTTGGTCTATTTTAAACAAAAGAGCAGAGACCATTTTATTTCTAGTTACTGAATCAGTACCTGGATCAATATAAAAATATAGATTAAATGAATGAATAAAAGAATAGAATGAAATCTTGATTCAGGAAAAATGAAAAGATAAGTGAAGAGGCAGAAATTTCTCTTCATTTTCAGGGATATGTTGATATATATTTCTGAAGACAGAAAAGAGAATCTAGTAACCCAGAATTTGACAATCATGAACAAAGTTACTTGACAAGTTTTCCACTAGGGAATCAGAGTCATAGTCTGATTACAGAACCCTAGATAAAGGCTGAGGTCAAACAAGGAAGTTTAGGAGAGGCCATTGACTTTAATCATATACTGTTCCTTCAGCAATACATTTATGAACCCATGAAAAAACCTTGTGGCCTCAGCCACCTATGTAGAAAGCTCCAGGCTTAACAGGAAATGTTTGAAAATAGGCCTCTTAATGACAGTCTGGTATGATCAATAGTCTATTGATCACAGCAAGCTTACCTTGTAGTAAGGATTGCTTAGGGTAAGTGACAAACTGAAGTCAAGTAAAAATGTCTTCCATGTGTAATCACCACTGAGTGCTACTGCCACCTGTAATGAAAGTGTCATCCAGCAGTCTGATCGTCTTTTTGGAAGTGAGTGGCCACTTAGGCCTGCAGAAACAAAGAGGGCTTAGGATACAATTGACCAGGCTCTTCTTTAGAGAACAGAAATCCAGCTGCCCTTCCTGATCTCCCCTGACTCAGCATTTGCTGAGGCTGAAGCATTTGCATCCATTCCATGCAGTCTAATTCTTTCTAACTTGGTAATAAAAATATGGCAAGATGGGCTCTACACCATGTTTCATGCATTTTAATGTCCTAATATTTGTTAACTTGGAATGAAATATAAAATATATCCAGCTTTTGCACCCCAGCAAGCTGAATGCCTTGGCCATCTGTTCATTTCTAGTTTGTATACGTCTCAGTCATTTCACTTCTGTTTTTAATTGTAACTACCACTTTTATGCTGATGGCACAAATCCTGAGACCCTTTTAAATGCTGCTTTCAGTCCTCCTTCTGACCCTTGGCTCACTTAAAACCATGGCTTAATCTTGATTGCTTTTAAATTTATGTTTAAACTTGAGGGGTGGATCCAAATAAATGTTTTCTTGGATGATACAATTCCATTTTCCTAATTTTATTTCTCATTTCATTTTTCACATTGGCTAACCAAGTCTGTGGTCAGGTCCCCAGAATTGTATAATTTTTCTTCCTATGTCTTATTCCCTCCATTCCATCACAACTGAAGCTTTCAATCACATTATCTTACTGCACATTATAATTTTGCCTTCACATTGCCACCTACTCTGTTTAATTAAATAATTTGTTGACACACTCAGATTTCTGTTTACTCTAGCACAGGAGTTCTAGCCAAGATAATTACATCCTGGGCTTCAGGACCTGCCTATGGTAAAATGCTGATGTAGGGGAAATTTGTCTTTGCTCTATCTCTCGCAGGATTTATCAATTCAGGTTTCTCTCCTCTCTCTTCCCTTTCTTACCTCCCTCTTTCTTCCTGATAGGTGAAGTGACCATCCATTTTGACTCATCCATTTCTGACTTTATTTTCCCCATTAATCATAAGTCTATTTTTTTGTAGTCTAAGAAAACAGAGATCAGAAAAATCCCAATCCTACAATTCTCACTAAAATAATAAATAAATAAATAAATAGTTCTTCAGAATTTTAGTTGAACTCTGATGAAAAAAGCACTTATTAAATGCTAACTGTCCTTAAGGCTTCACAGCAGATGCTAGATATGAGGAGAAATAAGATACCAGTACTGACAATCTTGTTTTATGGATGATAAAACCAAGGTACAGAAAGATACAATTCCTTGTTCCAAGTCAGGCAGACAGTCGTGTTAAAGATATAACTTGAATTCACTGAGTTTGACTCAGGAGTAGAGCTGTCCAAAAGAACTCTCTGTGACCATCAAATGTTCCGGCAATGTTGCCCATCACACTAGCCACTAGCCATACATGGATGTTAATATTTGAACTGTGGCTATTTGCAGCTGAGGAGCTAAATTTTTAACTTTAATGAATTTTAACTATTTCAATCCCATAGCTCCTGACCTACAGGTCTTCACTGGCCACTAGATGCTACTTTCTCTTTGAGGTAGAACAATAACAATGTGGAAAAGAAGGACCAGTCTAAACAAGGATATCTGCTGTAATTTTCCATCAGAGATGTTGATGGTTGCATAGGCTGCCCCCATGCAGTACAAAAAGGTAGAGAGGGAGGGAGGAGTAATAGGAGAAGGAAGGAATTCCAGAATGAAATTGACCAAATTATTTTATATATATATATATATATATATATATATATATATATATATAATATATACATATATATAACAGTGAATTTTGCCTTTATGTATACCAAATTAAAAAAAACACAACAACAAATAAATAGAAGAAAGACCAGTAGAATAGAAGAAAGGAGGGAGAGAGGAGGAAAGGGAAAAAAGAAGCACTAGGGACTGAAATGGAGGAATTATATTCTATATGTGCATGGTTATGTAAAAATGAACCCCACTATTATGTATAATAAACTAATAAAAACATTTCTTAAAAAAGAAAGAACCTGATAAAAAAAAAGCATAACATATGATTAAATATGTTAATCCCTGAACTAATTAAAGTTCTCAAGGTAGAATAATTAGTTTGGGCTTGAAATTTAAAGGTGTCACCTCCTATCAATGGCCTCTCATCATGGCATTTCCATCCACCAACAGAAGGTCCAAGTTAACTTCAGTGTCCTTCTGACATTCTTAATAAAAGGATAGTAAAACTCTACAATTACATGTTACAAGTGGAACTTAAAAACTGTGTTTTATTTAAGCGCTGTTAATAACAGACAATCAGAGACAAATCCAAAATATAAGAGATGAGGGAAGAGGCTCCAGATGTGTGATAATAATTTCAGTAAAAATTGTATTATTAATAACAAGTAACTTTAGTTCCCATGTTACTATGTTATCATTTTGTCCTTTCAACCTCGTAAAGTGGGGATTATTTATATCATTTTGCAGATAGTAACAAAAGCATGGGTGGTTATGAAGCTTGTCCAAGGTCAAGGGTCATATAACTGGCACAACTGGAGCTCCGACCTCATCAGTCTGGATCCAAAGTCTATGCTTCTTCTTTTGTTTAAATCATCTTTCTGCTAAAGCTGTCTCAACAAACCATCTGATTTATGGGTGTCCAATTCCAGCCTCTAATCTTAGCTTTCATATCTGTCATCTGGGTAAGTTACTAAACTTAGTAGAAGACACTGAGATCACCTTGGAAGCACTCCATAAATGCTGGATTCCCTTTATAGCTCATCTTCCTCAATTCTACCAGATCAATTTCTGTAATAGGGTTTCATCCATGTCACTCAAAAATCCAAAAGAGTGCTGCTATGATCAGTCACTAATTCCCCAATCTGTCACAGAAGTAATCTAATTCCAGCAACTAGTAGCGGTCTATTTAGTAATGTGTGTCAAAGTAAAATCTCCAATGCAGGTAGAAATGCTAATTATCCTTATTCAACCATCTCACATTGTATACATGAATTATCATACTGTACCTCATAAATATGTAAAAATATTGTGTCAATTTAAAAAATGCCATTGCTGCCCGACTGATTTCCTCACCACCCACAGGCACAGGCAGCCCCTTCATTTGTGCTCTTCTTCAGTCTAGAGTTCTCTCTTTCCCTTCACCTATCCAAAGTCCATGTAACCAACAATGTCTAGGTCAAATCGATTCCTTCCCAAAGCCCTCCTGACTGCTATACCATTTCCATCATTAGTGAGGGGCCCTGCTACACATTTTGATATTTAATCATATGTTATGCTTTTTTTAATCAGGTTCTTTCTTGCACATATTTCTGGCCCTCCATTAGATCACAAGACACGCAAGAGAAGGAATACACAATTATTACTTTCAAAGCTACAAAATATTTGGAATTCAATTGTTAATTACAGAATAATACAAAGGACATACACAAGGATAAGGAGAATTAGACCTTCTGTAGCCTCTACTTCACTTCTTTCCCATACAACAATAATCGCTTCAAGGCAGAGTCCTTTGTTATTTATTTCAATACTTTCCTAACAGGGTCTCCTGAAGCATTTTCAAATAGCAAATACTCAGTAAGCATCTATTAGGTAATGTTTATAGCAAATTGAGCATAGGCACTGGATAAAATTCTGTGCATGTATCATTTCATGCAATCCTCCAAGGCAGGATATCGCTAGATATCCCCTAGAGAACTGGACTGAGGCTCTTATTTCCCTGGATCCCAACAGTGTTGTTGGCTGTGATACTTTTCAGGAATTGCTCTCAGCTGTCACTCAAAGTCATGCTTCCTCCCTGATGGACCCCTACAAAAGATTAATGATCCAGCCCACTTATTTCAAGATGGTCAACTCTGAAGGATCATTCTTATCTCTCAGGCTTCATGTGGGATCAGCTGAGGCCTTTGGGAGCTGGCGTTGTAGTTCAGCTCCTCTCTCTGCTCTGTCTTCCTTCCTTTACTCTCCAACAGAGATGGATATGAGGTACCCACAATAACCCCCTCTCCATGCAAATCCCCATCTCAGAGTCTAAATCCCAGGGAAACTGACCTAAGACAGTAGGCATTACTAGTGTCATTATTCCTGGTATAGATGAGGAAAGAAAGATTTACAGAAGTCATTTGATCAAATTAAATAAATAGTGCAAGATAGATGTAAGTCAGAGTGGATGACCCATTTCTGTGCTCCTACTTACCATGATGGCTGCGCTCTGCTTCCTAAAGAGCAAATGCATATACATAAATCAACTCATCGCAGAATATCAAGGCCTTTGTCCATTTCCATGACAAGGAAACAGAAGTTAGCCAAATCTGTAGTATTTGCTCAGGAGAACACGCCACTATTAGAAAGCCTGGGTCAATGCACCCTCTGGATCCTCCACCACCTTTTGTACCCTCCTTTGTGATCACTATGATCTTACACAGGCCTTACCTTGGAAATACCTTTAAAAATACAAGATTATTAAACTACAGAAAAGAATAGGGTGCAAATATTTAAAGGAAAAATACCACTCGATATATTGAGGATGGTGATGAGCCATTTTCTGTTTAACCTGACTAAACAGTGGATGTGATTATAAATGTATTCATGCACTGTCTAGAGTAAACACAGGATGCAACTTCCTGATGATGAAGATTGTGAGTAATGTTTGAGTACAGTTGTTATTATGGAATCTGTTCTTTTGAAAGAAAATAATAGTAATCACAGAAGCCAATAAAATAGTCGGGAACAACAAAATATCAAGAATGTACACTAAGTTTTAGAAATCCTGTTCTAGAAGCTCCTTAAGCTCCCTTAAAGGTGTAGAACAATTGTGTCTGGAGGACTTGAGAAAGTGTCTAGGTTGACTTCGTGGGTTGTTTCAGAAGGTAAGGAATGCATATGCAACCTTAAATAGCCCTGCCTTCATGAACTGCCTCTGTGATTTATTAAAAAGCATCAAGTGGCACTATAGACCTCTCTTTTCTTTCCTTATTTATATAGTTAGTTCATTTTTCCAGCACTGGGGATGAAACCCAAAGCCATAGGAATGATGGGCCAATACTCTTCCATTAAGGTATGTACCCAGGCCCAATGTCTTTATTTTAAAATTTGTTCTGAGGCTGGAGTTGTGGTTCAGTGGCAGAGCACTTGCCTAGCATATGTGAGGCATTGGGTTTGATTCTCAGCACCGCATATAAATAAGTAAAAATAAATAAATAAAGGCCTGTTGACAACTAAAAATTTTTTTTAAAAAATCTGTCCTGAGACTCTCTATTAGTGTTTATGGGCAGAAGGGACATCTATGTCTTTTTCTTTTTCTTAAAGAGAGAGAGAGAGAGAGAGAGAGAATTTTTTTTAATATTTATTTTTTAGTTTTGGCGGACACAACATCTTTGTTTGTATGTGGTGCTAAGGATCGAACCCGGGCCGCACGCATGCCAGGCGAGCGCGCTACTGCTTGAGCCACATCCTCAGCCCAACATCTATGTCTTATAAATTCAGTAACAGAAGAATAAAAGAATATAACCTTGAAAATATGAATTTATTAAAAGTAAATTTTATAAGCCAACTATTTTTCGGAGTTTGTGTGTGTGTGTGTGTGCGTGTGTGTGTGCGTGGATGAGACAGAGACTGACTATTTTTTAAACTATTTTTTCAAGCCTAACATTTTCATTTCAGATACATTCTACCACAATTCTATAGCAATTTGAACAAAATACAAATAGCTGACATGAAAGATGGTGAAAGCCTTCTTGGTTAAGTATCTTCTAAGAGGAAAGACTTAGGGGACTCTGAAGTCTGGATAGAACAATGCTTGTACTCTGATATTTGTGCCCATTTTGAGTTTATATAAACTTACTATCATGTCTTATTTTATTTTCTAAACAATTTCTCAACATTAAGATAACTTTTAAAAAACATTTCAGCTCACAAATTCATCAGTATTTGTTATTTCCAACTTGTCACACTCAGCATCATAATATAAGGCAAGAAAACCTTCACTGTAGTTGTAGATATAAACCCCAGGGAAGCCATTTAACCTCTTTCGATCTCTATTCAGAGCTACAAAATAAGATGAGATCATGATTCTCAAATGCTTACAGGGCAAGCAAATAACATAAATGGTCTTGAAGCTGAGATGATTCATTTGCATATTAACCCAAAAGGCGCATTCTTCATTTCCACAAAGAAACATGTTCTCTATGTTTTTTTTTAAACACAAAGTCCTCTCAGATTATGTTTTATATTCGAATATGTGACAAAGTCAAACATATTGTTCTTACTTCCTAATTTGGCTATAAGAAATTAATAATACAAATACAATGATCAATGCTAGCAGACTACTGACCACATTATTGACAATGAGGGGATGCCAGGATGGCGATACCCTAGAGAGCTAAGTCCATCTTCAGAGACCACCTGCCACTCCATTCAGCTGGTAGTTGGAGACCAAATGAAGGAAAACAAGCTCAGTGATTCTATTCTACTCTAAATTTTCATGAGAAATCCAACATAAAGAATTTTCATTTAAAATACACCCACTTAAAAATTTTGCAACTAATTAAAAAAAGACCTCAACTTGGGTCATTACTGTGGGAATACAAATGACATATTTGTAGCCAGTGTCCACCTAGGAGC